GCGAACGCTCAAACGTAAACAAATATTTTCGTTGTATAGACCAGAAATCTGATACGGCCATCCACGCCAAAAGTATTTCATCCCATTCCACTTCAAGCAAAAGTCAACACCGCTCAAAAGGGAACACCTATTTTAAATTTAAAGACGAGAAATCTGAAACGGCCCTCAATATTGAACGCAGATTAGAGAACTCCTTCAAGAACAAGCGACATAACCGCTCACATGCAAACTCATATTTTCCATTTGTAGAGGAGGCAACTGGAATGCCACTCAACTCCCAACTACTGCTACAGCATACAGCGTGACCGCCCAATCGCACACTCACATTTCCGACTTATAGACCAGAAACCTGAAATGCCACTCGACTCCGAAAGTAGATTAGAGAACTCCTAAAAGAGTATGGCCCAAACTATAGTGTTAACCAATAACCAACCTAAAAAATGACATTTGAAACCTAAGCAGCATAAAGGTTTTGTTATTTTTATGCAAAGAAAGTTATACAGACACCTTACTGAAATCAAGACATAGCCTGGCCAAACATTTACGTCCATTATATTGCTTTTAGCTCAACTATTATGTTCCAGGGGCTTATAAATTGTTCAATTATTATAAACCAATAAAGAATGGAACTTTGACAATTGATATCGAGCTCATTTGCAAAAAAATAAGAGCATAAAATATATGTGATGGTGGTAGCGAAGGCTAAGTGCTCACTGAAACTCCTACTAGACGGCAGTCACGGAGACACTAGCTATACCCCACCGTGGCGAAAGTGGACGATGAGAGCGATTGATTTTTGGCTCCCGGAGTCCCACCTAGGCCCCAACATTTTGGGTATTCGCCCTCTTACGCACTCGGTGCCATGAGGCTGTAGTTCACTACATCTGAACCTCTGAACGGAGTGCCAAATTAGTCGCGTTTTGTCAAGTTGGGCAAGGAAGTCCCCAAATGTAGACTATTTGGTCACCTCAACGACTGTACTGCATGAAGACGTTCTCCTTAACCTGTGCAACTGAAAAATAAGGAGGGGAAGCCTCTTTTGAACGTGAAAAAAGTTGTCCTCACGCAGGATGCTTTCAACTCCGCCGCCACCATAGCCGCTTTCGTTTCATTATCGATCAGCTGCTGTTGGTGATTATATTTCCCTAGGGAGAAGACAGATTCCTAGACAAAAAAGATAATTGAGGTCGCAAGATTGAAATAGAGTAAAAACCCACGCTTTCGCACCTACTACCTCAATGCCGCCGGCCTTATGTTGCGCCTCGACCCACAATATCTGACACCCCTACTGACACGATAAGTAAGACACTCCTCAAGTTCCGACGACCATTCCTGTTGTAAGATGGCATTGGCATAGTGTGGCGTGAGTG